GGCTCAAGCTTTAGAGTTAGAAGGGGCCTTAAACTCCAACTACTCCAACCCTCTCATTTTACATTTGAATAAACTCAGACCCAGTGATGTTAACTTGCTCAAGGTCAAGAAGCCAGTACATGCAAAGCCAAGATTTGAACATAGGTCTTCTGACTCTAAATTCATCATTTTATCTATTGCACCGTAGAAAAAGAGAAGAGACCATTGTATGAGGAAATACATGGTGGAAAAAGTTGCCATGTTCTACCTAGCACAAACAACATGAGACCAACCAGTTAGTATAAATAAATTATCATTGAAGCTGTATCAGAATAGTGGTGTGCTTTGAGAGTTGAAATGAAACCCAGTGGCCTGAAGGTTGAGAAGCTTTTATGGGAGAAGCTGTAAGTGTGAATTTCACTCTCCTAATAGCATGGGGTAGGGGGGAGGGAGGAGTAAGACAGGGGGGAGAGGGGGAGAGAGAGAGAGACAGACAGACAGACAGACAAGGACAAACCATTGGGGTGGCAGAATGTATAATGAGGGATTGATTGGCCACAGAGAAAATATTGAAGTGTCAAGATTTCAAAAATTGAGCTTAACTTTAGTAAAAGGGTGTTTTGGGTTTGAGGTAGGTAATTTTTCTGGTTTCCTGTTCTATGGGAGAGTTTGAAGACCAATTAGCAGCTTGAGTCTTTAAGACACCACTTTGAGTTGTAATGAGTTTATTTTCACAGTGTGGAAGCAGTGCAGAAGGAAAGCACCTCCTGCTAAAACTTTTAATAAGCTGTTATGAAGCCCTCCAATGTGCTAATATTTACACTGCAGGCTCCTTTTCTGGAGATTTCATGGCCATGCTAAATACTGTGGCCTTCCGAGATCTGTTTTTTCGATATTTTCCTCTCACTTTTAAATCATCTGCCTCTCAAGCTTTTTAGGTTTTCTTTACATGTGGTTTGTGTGACCTCTAGTGGACAAAACTCATTCAACTGGTTTAATGGATTTTTCTTTTCCTATATTGGAACAGAATGATAGAATCTTAGACTTGTAGGATTTAGAGCTAGGTTAGGAATTATCTAGTGCAACCTCCTGATTTTACATATGTGGAAGCTGCTGCAAGGTAAAGTAAAGTGATTTGCTTCAGGTTGCACAGGCAGGAAAGTAAAACCACAGAGCCAAGACTGGAATCCAGGGTCTTCCAGTTCTTCACCTTCTGTTATTGTAATGTAAAGAACCCTGGATTTGAAGAAGGAATCTAATACTTCCTTGATCCTCAGCAGACAAATGAAAATTGCTGTTGGAGGTCATATGGTGTATATTTTCCTAGTTTATTAATTTTCCTCAAAAATTCATGTTTGAGCCTCTGTCACAATTGTTTTGGATGGTGCTTTTGGCCGGATCTCAGGAAACCTGGGTTTAGGTGACTGTAGGAAGATTACTGGAACTCTTTGTGCCTTGCTTTTTCCAGTTAGAAAAATGAGGACAGTCCTTACTGGTCACTTGCATTTAAATAGTGAAGCCATATGTAGAAAAGAAATAGAAAATCACAGGTACTATGCAGTGAATCCATAGAGTTAGCTAAGTGTTAAGGATAATTCAACTGCTTTTCATAAGACTGTAGAATCATAGATTTAGATCTGGAAAGGACCATTGGGCCCAACACTGTCTTTTTACAGATGAGGAAACTGAGGGCCAGAGAAGTTACATAACTTGTGAGGGTCACATCCAAGATGGGATTTGAAGCTGGGCCTTCCTAACTCTAACTGCTTTACCAGTTATTAGAATGATTCAGGCCAAAGCACTAAGCTTTACTAAATTATCTAAGTACCTGTAGCTTTGTAGTCTGCTTAGAACATTTTCCTCAGTGCTTTATACATCCCACCTGATCTTCAGACTCAATAGTCTGTCGTTTGGTGAAGGCATTACCCTTGTTCTCTGAATTTCTTTTCAGTTCACATCAGCAGTTTTACGCCAAAGATATAGAGATGAAAAATGACACTGCCCCCCCCACCCTCAAGGAGTTTACAGTCTAATTGGAGGGCTTTGATAAGATCTAGGCAAAGTGCCCTTAACGACTTGAGAAGGAGAGAATCACTTTTAGCTGGGAAAATCAAAGAAGGTTTTCATGGAGAAAGTGCCATCTGAGCAGGGCTTTAAGAAAAGGCTTTTAACAGACTGATAAGAGAAGAATACATCCCAGATATTGGGGGGAGAGATAGCTTATATATGAGTACACAGTGGTGGGAGAGTGAAAAATAATGTTGTATTATGGGTGAGGTAATCGGTTTAAATGGAAGATTCCATAAGAGTTTGGAAGGTAGTGTGAAGTCAATCTGGATAGGTAGGTTGGAACTGGATTGTAAGTATTTTATCCTTTACACAGTAGAAAGCCACCATAAATTTTTGAAAAAAGGAATGTCAGATCTGTGCCATAGGAAGATTATGTTGGCAGTTGTGTCAAGGATAGATAAGAGAGGGGAAAGATTGGAGAGTATTCTAATAGACCAAGGGAGACACAGTAAAGGTCTGAACTGGAGCAGTACAGTGTGAGTGAGGAGGATGAGACAGATTACAGATATGAGAGATATGAAGGTTGCATTGGCTGAATTTATCAATGGAGAAATTGGATGTGGGGGTAAGGGAGAGGAAGAGTCAAAGATGACAAAGGTGACAGGGTACCATCCTTGGAAACTAGGAAGCTGGGATTTAGGAAGGAAGAGGATGAGTCCAATCTGAGGAATTGTAGAATTTCGGAGTTAAAAATTACCCTTAAATTTAGATCTTCTAGTCATAGAATGCTTCAGTTATTGGAAATAGAAGTACCTTAGAGAAATTTCAGTTCGTCTGTTATTTTATCTGTTAGGAAACTGAGGCTCAGAGGGGCTAAATGATTTGTCTAACATATAATCAGTGGCAAAGCTGAGACTTAAACCCAGGCGTCCTTACTGTTTAGTATACATAGGATTATAGACTTAAGGCTTGAAGGGATCCCTCTTCCAAAGGTTCTTAACCTAGAGTCTGTGAACTAGTTCTTTTAATATTTCGATAACCATATTTCTATATATATTTTTTTCCTTTGCAATCCTCTGTACTTTATTCATTCTGAGAAGGGGTCTGTGACACAAAAAAAAGTTGTAGTCCATATCCCCATTTCACAGATGAAGACTCTAAGGCCTAGGGATTAAAAAAATTATTTCCCCAGGTCTTCAGTGGTATTTCCCATGTATATTTTGTTGTTTACAACCTTTCTGCCTCCCAGAAAAGTATTCAGAGCTTGCACTTGCCCCATTCTGAGTTCAGTGCAGGACTGTTAATGATCTAAGTTACAAAGCCATTATTTCTTTTCTAAGTCGTTCCACTTTGGTTATCTGCAGGAGTGGTCTCAAACTCAAATAAAAACAGGGCCACTAAAACATCCACAGGGACCTCTGCCTGTCATAAATTAATTAAAAAAACATATTAACATTATTTATGATGCATTTTTATTTATTTTGTTAAATATTTCATACTTTTATCTGCTTCCAGTGACGGTAGGAAGTGTTGCCTTGATATGTTTGATACCCCTGATCTATCATATACCAGATCTGTCAGATAATTGATAATAGTCCTTTTTCTCAGGCATCCTGCTTTCCTTAATCAAAGCCACATATATTCTACTTATGATGTGTCGATTTTACTGGACCAACAGTCTGGGCCGGCCACATAAAACATCGGGATGTTTTGACCTTCCAGCTTTGAAGTGTGACTCATGGATTGTTGTCAACACGGAGCTGAGAGGCTGATTCAGAAACCAGGCAGATAAGATATTTATAAGTTGGGCGATCAAAGGCAAAGAGAGGTAAAGCAACTTTTAATGAAAAAAAAAATAGTCTGGGGGCAGGGGATTGTTTCCATCAAACCTTGTTCTCTGCCCAGCTTCACATGTAGAGCAGCTGGAAGCATGTGTCTCTAACAACCCTTCCTCCCAATGCTTCCCAGTCTTTTTTGCCTGAAAATCCCCCCCCAAAAAAAATCTTTTTTTTTTTTTAACAATCTTCTCCAGTCATGCAGTCTTCAGATTGTTCAGTAGTTTCAGACTCTTCATGACCCCATTTGGTTTTGGTAGATTTGTTGTTGTTGTTGGCCAAGATACTGAAGTGATTTGCAGTTTCCTTTTCCAACTCATTTTACAGATGAGGACACTGAGGCAAACAGGGTTAATTAAGTGATTTGCCCAGGGTCACATATCTGGTAAGTGCTTGAGGCTGGATTTGAACTCAGGTTTTCCCAACCCCAGGCCCATTGCTTTATCCACTGTACCACCTAGCTGCCCCTCCCCGGGATGCAATCTTCTACCACAGTTCTGTCATGTTGGGGCAGCAGCCATCCATAAGCTGCTTAGCAAGGATGGGGCTGGGGTTGGGGGGTTGCTTTTAAGCAGAGCAGCAAAATGCTTCTGGCCATAAGGAAGCCAGACCTTGAGTTCAAGTTGCTGGCCAGCGAATGTTCTGTTAACAGCATAGATTGGCTGGGAAGAATTTCCAGTATCTGTGAGACCCCCACCCACAAACCGCCGTCACGGTCACTCACCGTCCTTCTTCCCCAGAATTTCTTAAGGAGGCACTTTAATAATCAAGCTGAAAAACCTACTTTTCTACAACGTTGAATCTACGCTTTGTCTAGATAGCCATGCCATAAGGAGATCTGTGTTGGCTCATATACTGGGTGAAGAGATACCACCTTGTGGATATCACAGAGACCTGTATCTCTGTGCATCTTTGTATAGCTGTGTAAAATATTTGCCAGACCTACTCATCTGATCATTTAAAACCAGTTGACTTGAAGTTTTCAGCAGCCGGGTTAGCAGTCCAACCTCTTTGGTCTCTACTAGAATTAGTTGGTTGTGCATATCTTTCTGTATCAAGGCTTTTGGGTTGTCCTTCTTTATGCCAGGGTTTTCTTTTTCCAATTGTTTCTCCTCATTCTGACAGCTATTGTGAGCTGACCGGCTTAGAAAGGGTCTTCTCTTCCTGTTGTTGCAGGGAAAATAGAGAAAGTCAAACCTCCTCCATCCCCCACAACAGAAGGCCCCAGCTCGCAGTCTGATTTACTCCCTGAAGAGGCTGCCGGATCCCAGCGGCCCAAGAATCTGATGCAGACCCTCATGGAAGATTACGAAACACACAAATCTAAAAGGCGTGAGAAAATGGATGAGAGCAGTGTAAGTTTTTCCTTTCCTTTTACTTACTCTAAGGCCATTGCTACAGGCTTTGATCTTACAGGGAAGGATATGTCCAAAGTTGTCTAGCCCCTCCTGCCTCTTTCCCCTCCCCCCAGTTTCAGACTGCTTGAAAGGTTCCTTGACTAGTTTAGAAGCATGTGACTCTGTGGGGAGTTTTGTCCTTTTTGTTTTACTGACTGCAAAGTGCCAAGGGCTGAAGGATGGACACCCACTGGAAGTCTGCTTCAGTGCCAGGCCTTTGACAGAATTTGAGCCAGCCACACCCTTGAGCTCAGTTCTAGCTGTTTTATGTATTCAGAGGCAGAGAAAGAGGAATGTAGAGAGAGAGTTGGGATATCCACCAGGGCCATTAAGGACAGCCTTCCAACCACAGTTGTGATTATGAGCACTCCTTGGCTTTTTTAGTAAACCTTTGGCTTTCCAAATAGAGAGAGGACATGGGACTGTCCATTTCACTGCTGACAATGCTTAAAAGACTGAACATGGTTAGCAGTTGTTTCAAATCTTTCTGCTTATTGTGGTGGGAAAAGATGACTTAAAATGACAGTTTAATATACACATACTTTTCTGCAGAAATCTAAACCACCACCTTGGGACCTCTGCATTGACAATGTCCCCAGGTCATCTACTCAACCACTTCGTGGACCTGGGCAGTTGGGTTGTGAACTCTAAACCCACACAATAGATATGTTCATCGCTCTTTTCCAAATTTGCCTTCTGAAAATGATCAGACTTCTTAAAGCAGTGGTGCCCAAAATAAGGCCCATCCTCTCTGTCCCCCATAGTTACTCACTGGGCCTCTAACACACCACATCAAGCCATATCCCCAGAACCTCACCTCTCCACTCTGTTCCCAACACATCCCTTTCTAAGCTTAGTATTGGCCCTTCTAGGCAGTTTTAACCTAACTATTATCAGGGCACTGGAAGCAGCTATACATATCACTGGGGAAAATCCTCCTACATATACTCTCCCAGCATACCCACCTCCTGTCCACCAGAATCACTTGGTGGTTGTGGCACGTGGGCTCAAGAAAGAGTTCTCGCACTAATTCATTTTGGAGAGGGTAGAGTGAGTCACACAGAATAAACAGGCATGGTGACCTGCATCTCAGATCTCACAACACTACCTTTCCCCACAGAACATATTCCACTTCTTCATTTCCCTGTTTCTTTTTAGGGCACTGGCATCCTTCCAGTCATTTGGTTTCGCAACATTGGCTCATCTTGGCCTTCTAACTCTGTCCCCCTACAGACCTAATCAGTTGCCAAATCTTGTCATTTCTCACTCCTCAACATCTTTCACATCTGTTTCCTTCTCTCTCAGACAGGCACCACCCTATTCCCACAGTCTCAAGGCTCTGCCTTCTCCTGACCAGTCCTACACAGTACTGTCAAAGTGGTTTTCTTAAAACATAGTGCCCAGTTGATTCTAGGATTAATTTTTTTTAATCTTTATCTCATCATTTTTAATATCTATTTTTTGTGGAAGTTTTATAATGTGCATTATATAATAGCACAATTTACAAATGAGTATATTGGGGTATATATTCAAACTTTTTTGCTAATGGGCATGTATTATCAAAAACTTCAGAGATCACTGTCATAGAGGATTATGAGCATGAATCCACAAAAGTTAATTTTATAGGACTCATCCCTGTAAAATACTTCTGAAGCATTAGGCTTCTATACTGGAAGGGGCCTACTTGTGTCAATGCTACCTTCACCTACTGTATTCTTGTTCAAATAAGTTAGAACATAAAAACAAGTTTTTATATGTGTGTTGAGCCAGATACTAAGAGGTATTTGAAAGAAACATAGTACGGTACTGTATGAGCTATTGAAATTGATTTTTTCAGTTGTCACCAAGAGGCCTTGAAGTTTTTCTGTCTGGCTTTATTGAAAAGTACCTTGGGCCATACTCTATAAAATTGGAACTTTTCTATACGGAGCATATCATGAAGGAATGAATGACTCTGTATGTGATTCAAGAGCAGTTTGTGCATTGCACAAAAGTGGGGCGAGGGTAGATCTGTAACTCTGCTTAATTTGCAGAGGGGAGTGGGGTAGAACTGTTTGACAACCCAAAAATTCATACTCAAATTTTAAAGACATCTCAGTGTCTTCCCTGTGGTTAAATCTGGATATAGGTGACCCATTTAGAGCACTTACCCAGAGATTATTAACAGGCCTTACCCCTTAACATTAGACTATCTATTCTTATAGTCTTTCTAGAACTCTCTGAAGTATCATATTCAATCGGACCCTTCTGGAGGCTGTAACAGTTTTGAAATTAATTTCTCTCAGCTTCCTATTTATTTTCTTCTTTTAATCTTGCACAGTACCTAAGCAGCTCTGTGGAAAGGTAAGCCTGGCGACATATCCCATGCTCTTCCCTGTGGTGTGGATGTGCTTGGACAAATGTAACTTGCTTTTGCACACACTCCCAACGACAATGGTCTCTCCTTGCTGTTCTGGTCTGTGTCATGGATCTGCATCATTAGCAAGTGTTTCTGTTTTAAGTTTTGCCCCCTCTTGGAGATAAGGTTTCTCCCTTTTGAAATCATGCACTGCTAAGTCTTACCTGAGAGCAGTGGTTAGGCAGTGGGACCACCACCACAAGTAATTAAGTACGTGCCATTCCTGCAGCCCTTTCACATTCTCACTGTGGTTTAGTTCATTTGTTCCTGTCAAACTGCCAGATAATTAGCATCAACTGTGTTGAGTTGTCACCTTTGGCTTAATGAGTTCGTTTGGAATCTGTTTTGTTTCATTGGTCCTATTATTTTTCACAGTTCCTGTTTAAGTAAATACTAGTGCAGAAGCTTTCCCAGGGCAGCTGATGTTTCCCTCCCCCACTCCCTCAACCTCTATCCAACCCTTCTACTCTTCCTTCCTATAAGTACGTCTGTTGGAAGAGGAGAGAAGACACCCAACTAATCCTTGGTTTAGAGGTTAAATATTTTCACACTGCCCAAAGTAGTATTGACCAAGCATGGAAGCTCATTTTACACCATGAAAAACCCCTAGATCCCAACAGAAAACATATCCGGGTCACTGCATCTCTTATTAAGGACCAAATCACCAAGAGCATCCACCATCATCTCACCTGAACTAATATATAATAATCAGTCAGGCATAGGTATATGATCAGGCTTATATCATCTTGTTGCTCATAGGATTGTGGGCATTTATATTGTCATCAAATATTTATTCAGCCCCACTGTGTTCCTATCACATGAAAAACCTGTCTTTGAAAGTATTCATTGGATCAGAAAGTTTATTATGATGAATGTGTGTTTGTTTTCTCTTGTGGAGCTGTGGCCCCCACCCTTTAAGAAAGAAAAAGGAAGAAAGAAAATTTGTTGTGATAGGTAGATTAGCAGTGTTATTAACCGCTTGGTGACTGCACTGTGCACCTTCTGTTGCCTTTAAGGCTGTGGCTGTGGCTGTCCTGTATTGATTCTGTGCACATGACCTATTTCAAAAGCTAAAAATGTGGCTTCACAGTTCCTGCACCTGCTCTGGGACCATTGCAGCTAATGCTAGAGCCGGCAATGCCCTGCCCTTCTCTCCCTCCAGGTATTCCTTTAAGCACCTGTAAGATAATGACTGAGCACAAATTTATCCACATCCAATGATCTGAATAACACCCTTCACCACTGAACTTGCTGAAGAGATTGCAAGCCCAGACAAACAAAGCAATCAAACTAGCTTTGTAAGCAACCCCTTACCAGTTTGTTCATAGAAAGTCACAGTTGGCTGTTGAATTGTATTCAAAAGAATGTTTTTCTGTGTGCTTTATGAGAGGAAGGCTCAATTTTTCAAATGGTGGGTTGGTCAGTCTTGTTGGATATGTGTATGAATTAGATGCATGTTCTTGGTGAAAAGTAGAAAGTTGTGGTTTCTTTCCCTTAAGCAAATTCAACAACTTACTGTCTAACAAATTATTCTTTGTGATAGAACAGCTCAGACCCTGCCAAGTTGAGGTTTCAGTCCATTCCAGCTTCAGCAGTTTTAATGGTCACTGTGGCATAATGGCCATCAGCTCAGGGCCCTAGGGATTTCTTTGGTCTTTTTTCTACAATCTTCAAATGCCAAAGACTCAAGGCCAGGAGTAAAAGAAGGCATGATAGTCCTGCTCCATAAAGAAGTTAAGGAATATATTACCTTTTCCTAAGCCTGGGTGATTATGTTGTCAGGGTGCCCTAATATTCAAGGAGACTGCAGCCAAGCTGAGAGATTGGGGTTGTTCTGGCCACTGGAGGCCACTATCCTAAAAACCACTACTAACAATTTCAGCATGCCAACTGTCTTCTAGTTGGTGAAAAAAGGCTGATGAAGTAGAAAGGATAAAATGCTTCTTATTAGAAAAAGGATTGGGTATGCTCATCGATTGGGGAATGGCTGAACAAGTTATGCTAAACGAAATGTGATGTGCTGTAAGAAATGATGAAAGAGACAAGTCACAGAGAAACGTGGGAAGATTTGTATGAACTCATACAGAATAAAGCAGGAGAAAAATTCCTACAATAACAACAATATTATAAAGACAAACAACTTTGAATGGCTTAGGAACTCTGATCAATGCAATGACCAAACACAATTCCAGGGGACTCATAATGAAACATGCTACTCTCCTCCTTACAGAGAAGGGATGGATTCAGAGTGCAGATTGAGACTTTCTTTTTAACATGGCCAATATGAGAATTTATTTTGGTTAACTATACATTTGTTACAGCGTTTGTTCTTTTTTTTTTTTTTCTCCTGGGGTAGGGACAGGGGGATTGAAAAAAAAATTGTTAAAAAAAGAAAAGATTTCAGGCAGGCTGAAGCTCATCAACAACCTAGAAACCCCCAAATTTGCCCTTTGGGGGCCACAAGGATTTTCTTTCTTCTTGAACTGTTTTTTGTTCTTTATAGCTATGTACTTGGACAGCAATTTAAAATACTTCACACTCTGTCGCAGACCCCCACTTACACACATTCAAGTACAGTCATGCTGTCATTGATTGCACCTAAACCCTAAGTTCCAGGTCTATTTTCATCCTCATCCCTGGCTGTTCTCTCTTTTTATAAAAAGACTATGAGAGCTTTAGAATGTACCATTAAGATATATTGAATCTGATCCAGTGCTTGCTTAGCACAGTGCTTGGCACATAGTAAGTGCTTGATAAATATTTATTAATTCATTGATCAGACTCTCATCATTAATCTCAAAGTGGTGTTAATGTGTGTATATGGGGGGGAGGGGTTTGGACGTCATAGCTCTACAGCAACCCAGGTCACAGCTTGACATGTAACACGTCCTCTCCCACAAAGCTAGCGTATGATCTTTAGACCCCAGCCTTACTCACACTGAATTTCTTCCTCTGACTCATTCAGCTCACCACTCAGGTTCCCAAGTCCCCAACACTCCTTTATGAATGCTGGGCTGGCCTTTGGTTCTCATACTACTCATCTCCTTTCCCTCTCATTTACATTATCACTCTGCACATTGACTCAGTCCCTTGGACTCTCAGTTCTTTCCAAGCACCCCTTACCAGTTGATCACCACCTAAGAGAATACCTTAACCTTCCTAAATATGCCCTTGAAATTGTAAGCAGCTATATCCTAGCATAGCCTTTCTCTTTTTCAAGTATGTCCCCAGGACCTATCACTTTGGAGTATAAGGCCATTTCTCTCCGTGTCCTATATCATTTATTTCTGCCCCAGTCTTGCTATTATAATGACTCTGAGAGAAAGACTGAATTGCTTTAGCCTTTCTTATGTGGAGGCTATGGATTGTCCTAATAAATCAGTGACTAAAGATGTAAATTCTTTTTATTTTTAAATTTTTTTTCAAGTAATTTCACATATTTTCTGGCAGCTTGGTACATGGGAAGATTTGTGGGGAGGTAATATTTTTTCTTGTGGTATTTCTCCTGTTCAGGCATATCATAGGATCTAGCCTTCTGGTAGAACATTTATATAGAGAGCTTTGAGATCATTGAATAAAGTTTAATTTTTTTTTCTTAGAATTTCCCTCTCTTAATCTGGCATTTATGTAACAGTAGTAAAACATTGCCAAGCACTTTTTTAAAAATTTGGTTTTAAATTTATTTTACAAGAATATATTAGGGGCAGATAGGTGGCACCTGGAGCACCAGCCCTGGAGTCAGGAAGACCCTGAGTTCAAATTCAGCCTCAGACAGCTGACAGTTCCTAGCTATATGACCCTGGGCAAGTCTCTCTCTCTCTCAGACAACCCACACACAGTCTCTTCCCTTCCAGTGCCCCTAAGGACTAATAAATAAATGAAACCCTTGTAACACATGCATAGTCCAACAAAACAGATATCTGCAGTGGCCTTGTCCAAAAATGCATGTCTCATTCTACATTTTTAAGTCCAAAATCTCTCCAGCAGAAGGTGTGTTTGTCATTAGTCTTCTGGAATCGTGCATTGATAGAGTTCTCAAGTCTTTTAGAGTTGGCTTTTCTATATAATATTGTCATTTTATAAATTGTTCTGCCCACTTCAGTTTGCTTCTGCTCATAGAGGCTTTGCTAGTTACCTCTAAAATTCTTTTGTCATTTCTCATGGCACAAAGTAATATTCCATACATCTCAGTTTGGTTAGCCATCCCCCAAGAGGTGAGCACCCCCAGAGTTTCCAGTTTGGAGCAACTATGAAAAGAACAGCTATAAATATTTTTGTATATATAGGTTAATTTCCTCTTTTCTTTATCTCGGTTCTGTAGACCTAATAGGGCTATAGCTGAGTAAAGGTTACTACAGCAATATGAAATGTTACCAACCCAATATTGTTTTCTCTTAAGCCTGCTGTTGGCTTTGATACCTTCCCTGAGGAATTGGCCTAGCATTATAAAATCCCCATTTTTTCATGGCCCTTTGATGAGTGATCCTTGCAGGAAGAGTACAGCTGTAACACAAGCCATCTGTGACGAATGAAGTACAGGTCCTAACAACTCTGGTAACACTGGAACTCTCTTTGATGCTTTTTCACATTTAGTGTCCCACGTCATCTGGTCAATGTTCCAAGAAACTATGTCCTCATCTAACAGTTTGGAAGGGAGACATTAGTTATGTACCTAGTTAAGTCATGATCACATAATCCCAAATGGCAGCTTCTTTGGAAATGGCCATTTTCAGCCCCACTGCTGACATTCAGCATAAACACAACCTGCATTGGAATCAAAGATGCAAGTTGTAGCACTGTGTTTGGGGTAGAAGGATTCAAGGAGACATGAAGTCCTTTGGCTAGAGGCACTAGGAAATCCCGTGAGATTCCTCTAACCCAAGTCTTTTCTATTAAGAACAAACAAAGGTGTCAGTAATGGACTGGTGACATACAGTAAAACTTTGTTAATTCAGAATGCAAAGGGCTGGAAAACATTTTGAGTTAACCAGGTGTGGCTTAGCTGATATTTTTATTAAAGAAAAAAAAGGACATCATACTGTTTCAAAGCACACAAAACTTTAAATAAATATCAGAATACTAAAGCCTTTACTGTATTTGGAAGTGCCTTCTAAAACCACTTCTAAATAAGCATCAGTCCATCACCTAGAGGCAGACTTATTCTCAGGTATGGATGGTTTTTAAAATGTTGGCATGCCTGTTCAGTATACTAATGTTGGTCTTTTCCCTCTCTGCCAGTACACCTGTAAATTACTGTCTAACAGCAAGGTTACTTCCGAGGTACTTTTCAACTTGCCTTTCTTGGTTTCTGCTTGCATGGTGTTTTATAAATGCATGCTGTTTTGGCTTGATGCTTCATGTTGGTTGTGCTTCTCAATTAAAAACTTTTATAGTTTGAAAGAGCCATAATTTATAAATTGGTATGGGTACTGCTTTGATAAAGATTGAAATTCTTCTGTACCTTAGACTTTTCATGAACTGCCCTGGGGCAGCAGGGGACAGGCAGGGGGGGAGCTGTAGGGAAAGCAGACCTCATTTCCTGGTGGCCAGACTTCTGGTGACAAGTCTCTCTGAACTTACCTAGGCTGGTGTTTGATAAAAGACATACATTCCGTTACTGGGTCCCAACGCCAAAGGTTCCCACCTTTTTTTGCCCATACCCATGGGCATTTAGTAAACTTGCCCATATTCCTTACTCAGTATGAACGAAAATGCATTCTGCATATGTACATAAGAAATAAAACAGATTAATCTCTTTTAATAAGGTGATATAATTGTTTACAGAATATTCCCTTACACCCTTGATTAGCTTCTCTTACACCTTGTGGATGCGTGTACCCAGGTTGAGAATCTTTGCCCTACATGATAAGATCCACCAGAATTTGCATTCCCCTGATAGATCCTTTTTTCTGTTATGGACCTCTTCTCAGAATAATGTTTTTAAATTAATAAAACAAAATATAGTCTTACAAAAAATCAATTGTGTTGAAATAGTTACTCCAAAAAAATTTTTTTAAAAAGTTAGCTCATGGATCCAGGTTAAGAATCCCTGTCTTTGAGAGTCCAGGGTCATCCCCGTGCCACAGTGAAGCATAAGAGTAGGACTGGAGTGGAGATCTTAATAAATTCCAAGGGAGAAACAGTATCTCCCACCTTTTTTTTCCCCACTGTTTGCCCTTTTCTGATTTCTGATAATATCTGAAAAGGGTGAGAGAATTGCTGTGTTCTACAAGATGGTGCTGTGCTGTGTGGTGTGATGGGGGTGAAGGAGGACCTTTTAATTGTTATCTGGTATACGTTAGTGCTTTGACTGTTAATTGACAAACTTTTTCAGTCTAGGCTTTTATTCATTGTTACTCTACAAGTACCAGACTATTTTTCCCTGTGGCACCTTCAGCTTTGAATTCACTTGGAAATGTTGCTGTTTGAAGGAAATTCCCAAAGCACTCCGCTCTACAAATTTGAGTTTGGCACACCTTATCACAACAATCCTTTGGACTTCCCTGTAGTATGTTGACCTATTCTCCCCCCCTCCCCATATATATAAATTCCTTATTCTTGTAATGATTAATTCTAAATGAAAAGCGCGCGCACGCGCGCGCACACACACACACACACACACACACACACACACACACACACACACATAAATAAATAAATAAATAAATGAAACCCCGACTTTAGATTGAACCTCTACTCCCATATCTTGGAAGTTTCCATAGGCTGTCCACTAAGTGTGCTGATTATATAGTGTACCATAGTCTCCAGGTGTTTGGTGGTTATTTTCATTTTTTTTTTAATAGTAATAGCCTTCATTGTTCCAGTGGAGAAACAATCTGACTGAGGAATTTATAGACATTTGGGTTTATTTTTTTAATCTTTAGTTGTCATGCTATAAATATGGTTAGGACATAACACATCCTTGTTTTCCAGAGACATTTAATGAAGGTTGGGAATCTTAATTCCATGATACCTCCCTTTGGATCCACTAATGAGATTGCTAAACTTTATATAGAATATGAGAGTTTGAAAAGTCAGACATCTAACTTTACAACATAGGACTGTATTGGTTACAAGTTGCCATAGTTTGGTAGAAATGAAAATCTAGAATCAGATGCCCAAGTGGAACCCTCAAAACTTAGTCATTCATATTTTAAATTAGCAGAAAAATAAATTGTTAACACATTATGCAACGTACAAATTTTTCATATCATGTACTTGGGTCCGCGATCTTACCGGTATTACTCCTTCACTTGGTGTAAAATATGATCCACTTATGCTTTTTCACCCTATCCTATGAAATTCCAGCCCATAATGTATCTAATATGCTAGATACTTTTCTTTAGTTTTTTTAATAGCTTATGATTTCTAATATAGCAAAATATCCATCTATTTCATATATTTATAGAAAAAATGAGAGTTGGCTGCTATTCAAAGATTAAATGATCTTCTCATTTGAATCGTCAGGTGATCATGCAGAGCTTCTTCTAAATTAATTCGTAGAAATGACAAAGCTCCAAATGTCATTATTACCTATTAAATTTTTTTTTTTGTGCTCCATTCAGTTTGAACATTTCTGTCAGCTTTATGTTCTTTCAGGAGTTCCTGCTTCCTGCTTCAAGGAATATGGACAGGAACTGAACCTGTGGTTTCTTTGATTACAGACAACTCTTTGGTGAGGAAACCCCCTCTACCAGTGCTAGTCAGGCACCACATCTGAAACATCTAATCTTAGACATTTGCCTAGAGCATCAAGAGGTTAAATGATTTGCCCAAGTCACACTGCCAATGTTCAAAGGTGGGACTTGAGCCCAGCTCCTTGTCCACTGGCCATGCTTCCTCCTAGAAAGTTATGTTGAAATAAAACTTTAACAAATAGCGTAAAAAATATAAGGGCCAGTAAGCAAGATGTTTTAAGTACATCGTAGCACAGAGGAAAACAGTGGCTGTCAAATTAGAGGACCTAGCTTCAGAACCACCTACTTAATACCAGTTTGACCCTGGGCAAAGGTGTCTGTCCTCCCTGGGATTTATTTTCTTCATCTGTAAAATGAGTGGATTGGATAACCATATAGAAATCTCATCCTAAAATGCTTTATTTTAGAAACACAAACAAAAATCTTGATGTTGCTAAATCTCAGCACTACATAGTAATTCAATATGTATGAATAGTAATGTTTACATCTTAAATAGTGTATATGAAAAATAAAAATTTTTCATTAGCTGCTGAGAAATAGTATCTTCTCTTCCCTCTGGATCTGGGGTTCTTGACCTTTGTGTGTGTGTGTGTGTGTGTGTGCGCGTATGCCATGGACCCCTTCTTAGAATAATGTTTTTAAATGTACGTAGGATTACCAAGGAAACCAAACAGTAGTAAAAATAATCTATTTTTTCCCTGTCAAAGTTCACAGACTCCTTGAAATCTATCCACAGGCACGGACCTCAGCTTAAGAACCCTTGCCTAAAAGTGAGAAAGGCTGGGAGCTCCTTTCACACATACTTTCATTTAATCCTAAGAAAGAAGGCAGCATGAAATAGTAGAAACAGCCACAAGTCAAAAGAGCTTGGTCCAAATTCCATCACATATTAACTGTGTGATCCTGGGCAAGTCACTTAAACTTTCTGAGTCTCAGGTTCTTCATCTGAGAGTTGAATGACTCAGCTAAGGTCACCGTAGTGACCTTAAGTCACTAAGTCAACTAAGACACCCAGGCCCTATGCCCCCTGAGTCCAGTGGCTTTTCTGCAACACTTTTATACCATGCTGTCTCTGTCCTTCTTTCATGGAACAGGTGTGGTATGTTTATTGCCATGGAGGTAGCCAGAAAGAGCTAAACCCACTTGGTTCTCCACCCTTTTTAAAATGGCCATCCAGGGCTTTAATAAGAAAATCCTGCATTATGGTTCCAAGGGAAAGCCATAATCGGCCCCTGCATCCATTTTGAAAAGTGTAGTCTATGCCACGTAACAAACAATAATTTAAGATGGCTATCTTGTCTTCATTTATCTTGACTCTGAAATTTAATCTGATTCTACATTTTATGCATTAATATCTGTCCTGTACCCTCTGCCTGAAAAAAAGTGTTCTTTTCTACTTTCATAATCAGAACACAAACCCAGAAGTATCTCCTCACTTATGCTTCCCTTAATAGCTCATTCAGTCCTGCTAGAGAGATACAGAGTCAGGGCTGCTCCTGTGACCCAGGGCAGCCACCTGACTGGTGACGTCTCTTATCTCAGTTTTCTCATCTGTAAAATGAGGATAACAAAAGCACCTTACCTCACAGGGTTGTTGTGAGGATCAAAAGAGATACTACATATGTATCAAAAGAGGTGCTACATATACTATACATGCCTAACAAAATGTAAATATCAGCTGTTATTATTTCAGATGTGAAAATGGCTGTGACACCAAATGCAAATTTTTGTGTGTGTATAATTACTAATTAAAATGCTATCTTTGTTTTACTGGCCTGAAATTACATTTGGCTGCTTGTATTTTCTTTTAATATCTTGTCTTGAATGCTTCTATTTGCTTGTCTTGCAGTTTTCTTTATCTTTTACTTCAGTTAACATGAAGTTTCTTTTCTTGAATTTTGGGTGACAGATGTTGAAACTGGGCTAATATTTAGTGTCTTTCCTCGTCATGACTAATAATTTTCCCTGAAGCAACTAGATCTTTCTCCATTCTTTTTTTTTTCCTCCCAAGTTAGAAAATAAAATAGTGGGTCACCAGCTTGGCTTCTTATCATTCATTCAGCTACTTAAGCTACTTTTTATTCAGGTATGTACACATTTTACTCTCTAGTGCCATCAGAGACAACTTCTGGGGTTCACAGATATTGAGGGATTCTGCCTGTAGCACTCTCCCTGCTGGTTTAATTCGGACTTGTCCACTTGGTTATAAATATCCATCCTCTTGTTTAGGAAGAGGACCAAAGCTTCTTCATAAGAAGAATGGTGTTGTATTTGTGATATTCAGAGATGTGTTTTATCATCATCTAGATAACAGGGTAGAGATGAGACCTGGACCTGTGATTTCTTTGGTATTAGGAACTCCCAGGTGAGGAAACTCTCCCTACCTGTGCAGGTCAGCACTTTCTCTGCAACTGCTAGTCTTAAAGAGGTGTCTAGAGAACTGAGAAAGTAAGTGACTAGCCCAGGGTCTCACAGCCAGTTATGTGTTAGAGGAGTTGACTAGCTTCAAGGCCACCTCTCAATGCCACACTCCTGTCCATAACATGATAAAGGTTAAAATTGAGTTCAAGTAAGTCTCAGAATATTTCACCAGAATGGTTATAAATCTGTGATGCCAGACTGCAAGGGAATAAATATTTCTTCATAAGATAACCTTTGTACTTAAAGTGTATGCAATCACAGTACACTATTGTGTACTAAGTACATTGACTTCTCACAGTGTCCCAAACAATATTAGACCTTCCACTGGTATCTCCTGAAAAAATCCATGTTGTCATTAAACCTGTTCATTTGGCCTATGTAGTGCTGCTGTTAACACAAGATTTCAGACCAAACTTAAGGGAGAGAGAAAGGGGAAACATTGAGTAAATAGGATAATGTCTACATGGAACCCTTGGTCATGAAAATCTGGTTTTCCTTCCTTTCTTTTAGGTCCTTGAGGCAACCCGGGTGAATCGCCGGAAAAGTGCACTAGCCTTGCGTTGGGAAGCAGGAATATATGCCAATAGGGAGGAGGAGGAGGATGAATAAACATTTCTCAACCAAGTTCATTTGGTGCATGGAACAACAAGAAACCCCCAAAAAATGAAGAAAAAGGAGAAAAGAAAGTAACCTTTTTAATGAAATATTTATTAAGGAGTAAACAAGCTCAATGATTTAGACCAGAAACACTGCAATAGATATCTTTGGGAGAAAACTTAAAACAAAATGGAAACTCATCTACTGAACTCTCAGCATACCCCAAGGGGAAAAAAAGAACAAGAGAAGGATTCCTGTGACTTACTGGGTCTATCCAAAAGGAGGATATCGCCACCATCAATAAGAACAGCAACAGCTGTGGTGCCTACAGCATGTAACCATTGAAGGTCAAAGCAATTACAAATGGTGGAAACCTGAGTGAATCAATATGCTTCCTTCTAATAGGACTCCCTGCCTAGCTTTGTGCTAAGGAAGAGCAAGCAGTCCGCGGTGGGCTCTATCAAAGAAGTACATCTTGTGCAGGAGCAGTTTAGCAAGGCACATGGTATTCTTTTGGATCCTCCCACAGTCTCATTGTCCCTATTTCTCATGCTGTGCTAGGAACATCATGATCACCCCAGTTACTCAATAGCCATAAATAGGATGTTGTGGGTTTTTTTAAGAATTTTTCGAAGGAGAGGTAAAGTTACTTTCTCTTACCTCCTTTTAAAATCAGGAACTATCACTGCAAAATCTACAATCCATATTTTACGATCAGTATACTTAATAAAGTATTTCTTCCTATTACAAACACAATCTCTTTCAGATTAGGAGGTTGAAGAATGGCAGGGAGGGGAGCCAACACAGATGACTTATTTTAGCTTTAGCATCCTATCTGCTTGTAATATTGACTGGTCTCCAGTTCCTGAGGACATATTTACATGATGATGTTTCTTAATATAAAAGTCTGTATTTAGTGGACAACAAGTATTTTTATGATGGGAAGGGGGCCGTGCTTGTGTACAGTCTTTACACATTGAAACAAACGATTCAGAAAGTTTAGGGTTGGGAGAATAAATATAGTTTTTAGAGTGGCAATAATTGAAAACAAAGAAGGGCACATTTTGACTTAGATGTATTAAACAAGAAGAAAATAGCAGTGTTTATAACTATATTTTGTAATGATGAAGCAGGCCTTGAAGAGAGTGTGAGAAATGGAAATCTTTGGATATCCAGAAAGTGAAAAATTTGAGAGGTCTTGGAAGTAGAGAAAAGTAGAAGGAAGAAAGGAGAGGGAAAGAGGTTATTTTTGCTGTTCAGCCAGTGTTTTTTTAGAATGGTATATGGAAATAAATAAAAATAGGACTTTGAAGGATTGGAGTCAGCCACAAATACTAAAAAGTGTGTGTGTGTGTGTGTGTGTGTGTGTGTGTGTGTGCGCGCGTGCGTGCATGTATAAAATGTATTATGTGCACTTGTGTGCAGGTGTGTGTGTGTGTGTGTGTGTGTTGAAATTCTAGAATGACCTTGGGTTAGGATTGTAAAATTATTTTCTCCAAAGCTGTTTGCTAGCTACCAGAGTGATTGAGAATTTCTTTTTTATGAAAAGGGATATAAAGGCACTGAGTTGAGGCACTATTTGTAATATTAAATTGACCCAACATGGTATTTGCATGAGGCCCAGTTGCAATGTTTTGAAGCAGTTTTGTAAATTGATATTTAGAAAAAGGATTGTGGTATTTATTCTTGTGCATTGTATTCATAGGTAGACTAGAGGGATGCTGGTTTTACACTTCATTTCATTTAAAGCAATATAATGATGATATTCTACAATTGGGTGCCATAATATCTGGATGAGAATTTTTTTAATCTGACAGTGAGGAAACAATAACCTGCTTCATTTTCTTCATAACTAGTGTTTTTATTTTTTTAAGGCAACAATTAAATTTATTCTCACTAAAATTCACTTCTACTTTGTTCTTGGCATGTCACATGATATGATGTGTGTTGCTCTAACACAGACCTGCACAACTTGTAAACTTCTTTGGGCAGCAGGCAGACTACAGACACAATGAGGATGGTTGGTTGTGGGTTATGTGACAAACAGGAGTGCACAGTTTTGGGGCTCCCTAAAATCCTTTGGCGGACCACAATCCTTTGGTAGGCCGTATGTTGTGCAGGCCTGCTCTAACAGGGAGCAATTTCCACTTTTAAAGTATATGGTAAATTCTATAATGCATCATTCTTGGTTTTGGGGTTTGTTTTTTTTTTTTTAGTAAATAATATAAGTGTTAATGGGGGAGGGGGAGAGGGGACAGGCAGGGAATGTAAGCAAAAATGGTATTATCAAAGGGGGATAGAAACAGTGGACTGCCAAAGAGCTGTCTGTCTGAAGCCAATTTTTAGAAATGTGAACCAAAAATTGCACCTGCTGTTAACCTGATGTATCTGGACCTGTGGATTTTGTTTTGTTTTGTTTTCTATAAGTAATAAAGTGAAATCTCTTTGAGTCCTACATTGTCCATAGAAATCAACAAACAATTCCGAAGTGTAGCAATTAGACATATGTTAGATATTGAGTTTGACTTGAACTTTTGGATTTTTTTTTTTTACGAAGAACTTATGCACACATCAAGACTACTTTTGAGAAAATGTACAGGTAGAAGGGTAGCTTTCAAACAAATTTAATGCATCCAGGTTTGCATTAACAGGCTGAAACCCTTTAGCAGAAGACATTTCTTGTTCCGAGGGCCACAAAGAATTTTACAGCTAAAAGGAAACTTGGAGGTCATGTAAGGTAGTGCTTTCCTTTGAGGGATTAGAAAACTGAGGCTAACATGGCTTGCCCAGAGTCACACCAAATGGTTTTCATGATTTGAATTTCAAGTTCCTGATTTCTTACCCCGCATTTATTCTGCTCTAAGAGGCTACTTTTCTGGCTATTTATTCTCATTCCTCATCCAAAAATATCTTCTCTGGGAGGACTTCTAATTAAAATCCCCTTAGAGCATCTGGATTTTCCAGAATGCTTATTCGTTTTGCAAGTAAGTATTCCTGAGCACCTGTTGTGTGCACAGCTCCAGACTAGGCTTCATCAGTAGGAATCCCAGCGGGGATTTGGTCACTGGGGAAGATGAAGGTTTTTTTTTTCTTGTTTAAGAAAAAGGAGTAAGTCCTGCTTACTTTCCCTTCCCCATCTCAAACTCTGTCTTCTCCCTAAATACCCACAGAAAAATACTCAAGTAGATAGAATATTTGTATCGTTGATGAAGTCAAGGCTGTCTTTCCCTCTCCCTCCAAGCACACAGTAGAAACAGCACTGGCAGGAATCTGAGGAGCTGAGTTTAACTCTTCCCTTTGGTGTTTATGACTTGTGTGACCCTAAACAAATCACTTAAATACCCAGTCCTTCAGTGGCCCATTAGTTCAGTTGCCGATTGTGACAGGTTGACTCTTGCCTCCTCAGCTTCGTTTTTTTTCATCCAGAAAATATGGAAGCAGGGTTCTGTTCACAGCAGGAAGAATAGGCTGTGTGCCCCTTGGATCAAGCTATGCAGTTTATTCAACTTGTCAGTATCACTTGCATGTTATCACATAGGTATGCATATATATGTAGTATATATAGTATGTATGTATATATACATACATGTATGTATCCATATGAATACACACACACACACACACACACACACACACACATATATATATATATGAAATTCAAAGAAGGAATATTATTACAAAGTTAATGCTGTCTCCATGGAAAAATAAAACCTTTCTCCAGCTAAAGGATGGATGTAATGAAATTGCATTGGGGGGGGAAATAGCTTTAGCTTTAGAGTCAGTGAGCATATCCAGTTTGGGTTATAGCACTAATTTCCTGAACTGTTATTCATTGAGCTGCCAAACTTTGATTTTTGTCTTGCTCTTGATTCATATTACATTAAAAAGAAAAAAAAACCCTTTTAAAAATGACCTGTCAATCATATTGTATACCTGGCTTTCTGTGTATGTTAACCTCTTACATGTAATTATTCTGCTTCTGTTTTATAGTGACTGTGAGACATACAATGCAAGTATATAATTATTTTCTCATTAAAACCAAAGTTTGTGTTGTGTTTCTATAAATGACTGCTTTTTAAATCTTAGTCACTTGGCCTGGAGAAGATGGATCCAGTGGGAGAAATGAAACCGAAATGAAGGCAATTTGGGAACTACAGGTTTTGAAGATGAAATACCTTTTGACATGAAATACATGTCACCCATAAAATGTCCAGTTCAGGAGCTCAGTATATACTAACTATGAGCTTGTCAGGAATACAGAGCATGGTACCCAGAGTAAATGATTTTCCATGCCCTCTACTAGGTTTGGGGAAAGCCTGGGAATCCCATCAGAGTACAGCCATCTACCTCTTTTGTTTGGGTGTTGCCTTTTGTTTTTATCCTGTAATAATTGCCTAATGCTTAAGTTCCTTACCTCTCACCCTCCCCTCCTCCTCCTCAGCACTGAAGTCTCCCTTGAAACGAAAACAGCCAAGGAAAACAACCAATGCAGAGAAAATGCTGGAGAGACTATTTGTCATTCTGTAAGGGTGGGGAGGGAGGTGTTTCATCACTTGTTTTCCACAGGCATCTTCCTTAGAAGATATCCTAAATGTGGGATGCCCACCTTGTTTGCCTGAATTAAAATCAATCAGCATTTATTAAGGGCCTACTGGCACTTGAAGAAAGGAAGACAAAAATTGAATCAGTTCAAAGATGGCAGTTTGAGAATACAAAATATAAAATGTGATAGTGTAATTAGTTCATTGGAGTTGTTTAATAATTGCTAAATGGTATGAGAACCATAAGTTTCCTGAATTAAATCAGTCACTCAGCGTTTATTATGTACTACAAACCTAGCTAGATTTTATACTGAAGACTGTAGTGAAGCTCATTGTCGTTACGGAGGATTTGTGAAGTCATGCTATTTCTAAATAGCTCGAGCACCCATTAATAAAACTTAACTGAAATTGACCATCAAGGATGTGATTTACTTTATGCCGTTTTTATTGTTTCAGAATATCATGAAATTTGGTATTTCTGTTGAGATTCCTTGCTGAGAGATTTGTCTGAATTCTTATGAAATGGTCCCATAAAGTTGTACTGGTATCCCCAATGCCACACGCAGTAGGAAGCACTTAAATTGTTATTGATGGATTAATAAGCTCAAAAGAATTTGACTGCTTCTTTGCCACTATAGGCTTCCTATGTCTGATGTAAGCCTTCTGAGGTCCCAATTCCAGTGGTAATTCTGACCGATGAACTGGAAGTTCCTTGATTTGGGAACAAGAGGCATGATAACCTTTTTTTTTTTTTAACCTTAGCATGTGAAGGTTTAAGTGAGAAAATAAGCTAGTTAAGAAATAGTTAACTTTCAAAGCCAGTTTGAAAAAATAAAACTAATTGCAATAACTTAACATTTGTATGGCACTTTATATAATATCACTTTCTATATGTGATCATAGTTCATCCTCCCAACACTGAGGCAATCAATGTAATTATCTTCATTTTACAGATGAACGAGAATGAGGCTTGAAACATCAAATGGTTTGTCCTAGGTCCCACATCTAGTAAGTGGGAGCACCCAGAGGGAAATACAGGTCCTCTTACTGCAAATCCTAGCACATCTTTCCATTACAACAGCTGCCTCACAAAAGGTAGAAGCCCAACTCTTTCTTGGAATAACCTCAATTGCTAATTCTGATAGGAGCAATGGTTGGAGAAAAGAGACCCAAGAAGTATAATATTTAATAAAGTGACTATGAATTAGTCATTTACAGTGCCATGTATGTAGAAGTTGAATTAAGTAGTTTGAATGGAATTTAGTATTCTAATTTTTAAAGTCAATATGGTATTAAAATAGATAAATAATATGGCCCACTTTAGGGACTGCATGGGGTAACGAATGGAAAGCCAGCCTCAGAGCCAGGAGTTCAAGGCTCCCTTCTGACACATATTGGCTGTGTGACTGGGCAAATCACTTAACTTCTCAGTGTTCTAGGCAACTTGAGAAGGTATGGAGGTGCTTGATAACATGGAGGTTTTCACTAGTGAGTTTCTTATACCAAGTGCAAAACCTATACCTCTACCTAGGTTCCTATACCCGTCATGCCCCAGATTCATGTACACATGATATAATCCAAGCACACAAGACATTATTCTTGTGTATCTTCCAATACCTAGCATACGCTATCATTCATATTAATTACTTAATGGTTGTTGATTGATTAATTATTAGGAAAATAAAAGGGTTAAACTATGTACATTCCTGCAAACTCAAAACACTGCTAGGATTAATAGTTTTGTAACTGAATCCACCCCAGCACAGGGCTTTTTTGGTTCATTTAAGTCATGTCAGACTTCGTGCCCCAATTTGGGGTTTTCTTGGCAATGATATTGGAGTGTTTTGCTGTTTCCTCCTTCAGCTCGTTTTACATATGAGGAAACTGAGGCAAACAGCATTAAGTGACTTGCCCAGGGTCACACAGCTAAGTGTCTGAGGACATATTTGAACTCAGATCTTCCTGACTCCAGGCCTGGCACTCTATCTACTGTGCCACCTAGCTGCAGCACAGGACATACTGGCATATTTAATATTCAAGTGTTTTGTTGTTGTTAGCTATTTTGTAAAGCCCCAGGACATGATGAACTGATGGTAAGTCAGGTGATAACCTGTCTGAAATGATAATATAAATCAATGGGAAGGATGTTCATTTTAATAGTCCTTTGACAAAAGTGTGATTTGCACATTTTTAACCCACTACATTTCCTAATGTGAAGCACCATGATATGGGAGCTATGAAATAATCTTCCCTATTGGGCAGGACTGACCAGAATCCTGTCTGCATAAACACTTCCACACATTCCTCCCACAAAAAGAAAGTTGTGACTTGAGAAAGGATTCAGGAAAAAGTTCAAAAAGAGTGTCCAAAAATGCCCCAAAGTCCTTAGAACTTTATATAAAAAACAGACTAGAACATAAATCCTTAACCTGGGGTCAATAACTTGTTTTTAAAATACTTTGAGGGGAGGCAGAGCCAAGATGGCAGGGGCTTACCTGAGCTCTCACCCAAAACCCTCCAAATACCTTTTAAAAATGATTCTAAGCAAATTCTAGAGCATCAGAACCCAGAAAAAGATGGAACAAAGGAAATTTCCAGCACAAGACAACTTGGAAGGTAGCGGGAAAGTTTTGTTGCACCAGGTTGAGAGAGGAGCACAGGTTAGCACAGGCCATACCAGCGCAGAACAGGCCTTGGGAGTGAGAGTATCAGTAGCAATAGGAGCAATGGCAGCGGCAGTGGCAACAGCTGTTTCCAGAGCTCTCAGTCCGCAGACAGTAAGAGGGTCAAACAACTGGTTAGAAGGAAATTACAGGGGTCTTTTTGCTAGGACTAAGGCAGGACTCTGTTGCTTTGCCCATACTCAGAACCAGGTCCTAGGTGAGGAGGAACACTAGAATAGCAGAACTTGCAGCCACAGTGGAGGGGGCCCTCCTCACAGGTCCAGGGCAGGAAAGAGCGCTCGTGGTCACTCACAAGCCAGAGCCCAGGCCAGGAAAGGAGTAAACACCTCTCCTTAGGTAATACCACCTTGGAAGAACTGAGAACTTACAGGTCCCTGGAAGTATCTGTGAAAACAGCTGCCCAAACCCTCTGAAGCCTGGGACAGTACACCCTCCACACTGGAAGGAGAGGCCTAACTTATTAAAGAGTGTAAAAGTCAAGTAATTGGCTGGGAACATGAGCAAACTGAAAAAAAAAAACCCCTCAGACTATAGAATCTTAACTATGGTGACAAGGAAGATCAAAACACATATTCGGAAGAAGACAATAAAGTCAAAGCCTCCAAGAAAAGTATGAATTGGTCTCAGGTTATGGAAGAGCTCAAAAAGGATTCTGAAAATCAAGTAAGAGAGGCAGAGGAATAATTGGGAAGAGAAATGAGAGTGATGCAAGAAAATCATGAAAAATGAGTCAACAGCTTGGTAAAAGTGACAAAAAAATACTGAAGAAAATAACACCTTAAAAAACAGACTAGGTCAAATGGTAAAAGAGGTCCAAAAACACAATGAGAAGAATGACTTAAAAAGCAGAAAAGGAGGTCCAAAAGCTCACTGAATAAAGTAATTCCTTAAAAATTAGAATGGAGCAAATGGAAGCTAATGACTCTATGAGAAATCAAGAAATTTTTTTTAAAAAAATGAAAAAATAGAAGACGATGTGAAATATCATTGAGAAAACAACAATTCAAGTATAGTGGAGCCACACTCAGGATAACACAAGATTTAGCAGCTTCTACAATAAAGGATTAGAGGAATATGATGTTACATAGGGCAAAGGAGCTAGAATTACAACCAAGAATCACCTACACAGCAAAACTGAGTATAATCCTTTAGGGGGGGAAATGGATATTCAGTGAGATAGAAGATTTTCAAGCATTCTTGATAAAAAGACCAGAGCTGAATAGAAAATCTGACTTTGAAAAACAAGACTCAGGAGAAGCATAGAAAGGTAAACTAGAAAGGACTTAATATAAGTTAAACTGTTTACATTCCTATATGGCAAGATGATATTTGTAACTCATAAGACCTTTCTCGTTGTTAGGATAGTTAGAAGGAGCAAATACAGACAGAGGGTACAGGTGTGAGTTAAAAGTGAAGGATGATATCTAAAAAATAAAATTAAGGGGTGAGAGAGGGGAATGTACTGGGAGAAAGAGAAAGGAAGAAGTAGAATGGGGTAAATTATCTCACGTAAAAGAGGCAAGAAAAAGCTTTTGCAGTGGAGGGGAAGAGGAGAGAGGTGAGGTGGAGTGAGCGAATCTTACTCTCATCAGAATTGGCTTAGAGGGAATAACATACATGCTCAATTGGGTATAGAAATCTATCTTACCCTACAAGAAAGTAGGAGGGGAAGCTGATGAGAGAAGGGTGGGGCAGAGAGGTGATAGAAGGGAGGGCAGATTGGGGTAGAAGGTAGTCAGAAGCAAAACACTTTTGAGGAAAGACAGGGTGAAAGGAGAGAGAGAATAGAATAAATGGTGGAAGGGAAAATAGGATGGAGGGAAATACAGTTAGCAATAGTAACTGTTTCTCTGATAAAGACCTCATTTCTCAAACATAGAGAACTGAGTCAAGTTTATAAAAATAAGAGCCATTCGTCAATTGATCAAAAGATATGATCGGTTTTCAGATGAAGTAATCAAAACTATCTATAACCATATGAAGAAATACTCTAACTCACTATTTATTGGAGAAATGTAAATTAAAACAATTCTGAGGTACTACCTCATACCTATTAGGTTGGCTGATAGGATAGAAAAGGTAAATGACAAATGTTGGAAGGGACTTGGGAAAAATAAGATTTTAATGCTCTGTTGGTGGAGTTGTGAATTGATCCAACCATTACATAGAGTAATTTGGAAGTATGCCCAAAGGGTCATAAAACCATATGTACCATTTGACCTAGCAATACCTCTACTAGGTCTGTATCCCAAAAGAGATTAAAAAAACAAAAGGGAAAATAACCCGTATGTACAAAAATATTTATAGCAGCTCTTTTCTGAGGGTAAAGAATTAGAAGTTGAGGGGATGCCCGTCCACTGGGGAATGGCTGAACAAGTTGTGGTTTGTGATTATGATGAAATACTATCGTACCATAGGAAATGATGAGCAGGATGCTCTCAGAGAAACCTGGAAAGACTTGTATGGGCTGATGCGAAGTGAAATGTATTGTGTACAAAGTAACAGCAATATTTTAAGATGATCAGCCATGAATGACTTAGCTATTCTCAGCAATACAATGATTCAAGACAACTCTGAAGAACTTATGATGAAAAATGCTATCCATTCCCAGAAAAAGAACTGATGTTCTGAATACAGAATGAAGCACACTTTTTTAAACTTTATTTTTCTTAAGTTTTTTTTCTTGTCTGTGTTTTCTTTCACAACATTACTATTATGAATATGTGTT